GAAGGAGAAGTACCCTCAAGCAAGAAAGGAAGGAAGAATTGATTTCGTTTTTTCAAAAGTGCTTCTGGAGTAGCACAAGTACAGTTTGAAGTATCCGGAGTTCAAACAATGGCGGCTGCATATTGGGCGCCACTCACTACCAGAGACAGAGATAGCAAAGGGGTTTCGCAAAGTCATAAAAACCCAAGTTGATGATGAAGATGACGAAGAGGAAGACATCTTGAAAATTACCAATATAAGTGCCAATCATGGATAAAACAAATAAAAATAAGTTATTTATTATTTTTTTTGCTTCATTCTCGTTCTTTTGTTCGGTAGCAGAACTCAAAATGAACATAAAAGTAGCATAAACCATTACGAGATGAGATCCGAAGAAGAACAAAAGTTAACTTCGAAAATGCATTGCAATCAACACTTTATCGATATTGCATTGTGGGTGGAATGAATTAAAAAATAATTAATTTAATATAAGAAGATACTTGGCATGAGAGAGAGAAGGTCGTTGGCTTTCCAGTCATGTATAACTTGTTAGCGAATTGGGTAAAGTGAATATTGATATGGTGATTGAAATATGAAGGTTTTCCAATGTAATATTTATGATCTGATGAAATGTGGGTTGAGGAGTTCTGAAGATGAGATGGAGTCCTTAATGCTTCCAAATAAACTAAACAACAACTCATTTGTTATTTTACAAAATATGATTTAGCTGAATGCATTAAGATCGAGGGAGTCTACAACAATGAAACTCATATACGTTCCTTAGAAGCCTTTCAGGTTGACCAGTCAATCGTAGATTGGGTCAGTCATATGCTATGGAATAGATGAAAACAAACTGTAGTCTTTAAGGGACAAAGTAGAACAGTGTGCACCACATCGAGGTATCTTGTCACCACTCCTCCGGATCACGACTATTAATAGTGTCTCAAAGATATCAAATTCTGAAGATGCGATGGCGTCCTTAATGCTTCCAAATAAACTAAACAACAACTCATTTTTTTTACCAAATATATACATGATTTAACTTTATTCATTGATATCGAGGGAGTCATAAACAATAAAACTTATATCCGTTCCTAAGAAACCTTTCGAGTTAACCAGGCAATCGTAGACTGGATCTTCCATATGCTAAGGATGAATACACAAAAATGCAGTCTATCAGATAGAAAGTAGGGCAATGTGCACCACAGGGAGGTATTCTGACACCTGCGGATCACCGCTATTAATAGTCTCTTAAAGATATTATGTTCTGAAAATGAGATGGATTCCTTAATGCTTCCAAATAAACTAAACAACAACTCATTTGTTATTGTACAAAATATATACCTGAATTTGCTGTATGCATTGACATCGAAGGATCCTTCAACTATAAAACTCATATCCGCTCCTTAGAAGACTTTCGGGTTGACCAGGTAATCGTAGACTGGATCAGTCATATGCTAAGGAATAGAAGAAGAAACAAATTGCAGTCTATCAGAGACAAGGTACGGGAATGTGTACCACAGGGAGGTATTCTGTCACCTCTCCTGCGGATCACCACTATTAATAGTCTCTTAAAGAAATTAACCAACCATTACACAACATTTAACGGAGTCAACGATAGATACAGTCCCGTCACCGGTAACTACGTACTATACAGTGAAAATGAAGATGACGAAGAATGCAAAGAAATCTTTAGAGACATGTGACCGTGGCTCATAGGTACAAGCACACGAATGTAAAGTGATACACAGTGAAAGAATTTTCAGTCCTGTCAGAAAGCCGCTCTGAGAACTGGAAGAGGTTGTCTGCTCATGACACCAATGAATCATCCTCATACTCATCCATCGGTACAATTAAATGTCGATGAAGTACCTACTTGGGTGTTGTCGTCGGGAACACTGCTTCAATAGCCTTATGTACAGGATTCCCCGCCCACGTGCGTTAGGAGAGACTTTCATGATCTAGAGATATGTCGATAGGTACAAACACGCGAATCTAAGGTGATACACATATTCAGTCCTGTTGGAATGCCACTGCTGGAACTGGAACAGAATGTCTCCTCATGACACCAATGGATCATCGCCATGCTCGTCCATCGGTACAATCAAATGTTGTCGGTGAAGTATCTACTTGGGTGTTATCGTCGGAAACATACTTTCAATAGCCTTATGAACAGGCTTCCCCCATCCAGGCCCACCCATGCGCGTCATGAGAGATTTTCATTATCTAGAGAGAGGATCATAAGTACGCGATTGTAAGTGATACACAGCGAAAGAATATTCAGACCTGACAGAATGCCACTCTAAGAATTGGAACAGGTATCCTCATGATATCAGTGGACCATCTTCATACTCGTACATCGGTAAAATCAAATGTTATCGATGAAGTGTCTACTTAAGGAGAGATTTTCATGATATATAGTAGTCCATAGGTACAAGCACGCGAATGTAAGATATGCACAGTGAAAGAATATTTAGACCTGACAGAATGCCACACTAAGAATTGGAACAGGGTGTATCCTCATGACATCAGTGGATAATCTTTATACTCGTCCATCGGTACAATCAATGTTGTATGTTGTCGATGAAGCTTCTACCACGTTGCTAATATTGACGATGAAGTACCTACTTGCGTGTTATCGTCGGGAACACCACTACAAAACACTACTCCATCACTTCACTCCAAAATCCAGTGACATCTGAGTAGACTACATATGAAAATCCCGATTTAAACCGAAACCGGATGTTAATAATCTACGATTATTATGTAGCCTATCCGTTCGACTGAAAAGTGAAAAAGGAAAAATTATATCATTGAGAAGACAAAACGTTATTGTTTCTGACATGATCGGATCATCTATAGAACAATTGCAAAATAAGTCTTTCAGCATCAAGGCCCTGACGTTGCAATGAAGAAGGCAAAATATGTCATTATTATCAGGTTCTGCTAATAATGAAGGAGTATGTTCTTATTTAAATATCTGAAACTAGGGTCCCTGACGTTTCCCTGAAAAAGTCTGGAAAAGTCATTTTTTAACTACAGTCTCAACGTCGGTTATTTTTCAATAACATTGCCAGCAATAGGAAAACCTGGTGTAGATGCTAGCCTGTGTGGAAGCTACAGGCCAAATTTTCAAAAAAAAAAAAAATGAATATTCTTATATACTGTCAATTTAGATTTTGTGCAAACAATAAGAAATGCTCAGACAGCTTTCTCAACATGTATCGTCGAAGATTTCAACCTCAAGCTTGTGGATTATAACTTTTGGTTTGGGCTTGATGTTCAATACAACATGTCATCGTTTGGCTTCGATCTACAAACTTGTCACCTAGTGGCGATTTTCCTCAAGAATACAGTTTTTTCGAGTAAGAAGTTAGGACAAGATGAATAGTGTTCTTTGAAGAAAGGGGTACCTCAAGGATCTCTGTTGGCACTGGTACTATATAACTAGTTCAAATGGTGTATTGTACATTGACTCACTTCACAACTACTTCAACAAATGGGACCTCAATACAGGGTGAGAAGAATGATTAAAATACACTCTTTCTCACGAATGCTCACGGCGAGAATTCGAATTTTTTTCAATTTATCGCGAATGATAAAGTTACAATGAATGAACAAACATATGCAATCTCTCGCGAATGTTCGCATTACACGAACAATTCACGAACGATAAAACTTCGCTGCAAGCGTCGTCGATTCATTCATTCGCGAGCATTCTTTACTGAAAAACATTCTATTGAAAAACTCAAAAAACAAATGTTCGCGAATGCTCGCGAGCACAGTTAAAAACAACAACAAACAAAAATATCATATGAAAGTAAACAACACAAAACGAATGAACGTGTGTGTAACAGAAAGTGTGTGTAATAACAAAACACATGCCCAACAATGTGTGTGCGAACATTATTTGGCGAATGCTCGTTCATTCATTCGTAAAATGAGCACAAAACAAATAGAAGGTATTTTAATTCCTTCGCGAGTGAATTTTTGCGCACCCTAATTTCAAGTACACTGCCAAGAGATTCTGAAAATATGTTCCAACTATAAAAGCTTCCAATAAATTCATCTGATTTTTAGATGGGATGAATTTTCTTTTAATTATTTTTATACCCTCATTTTGATACGGTGAAAATGTGCCCCATCGAAATATTGGTGTCCGAGTCGAACCAAACTTTTTACAACCTATTTTCTTTACCAAGTCTAATGGGTGTTCGAATACGTATACTGAATGATTTTTTGTTTTTCGTAAGAAAGACAAAAAATATGACAGTATGAAGGGCGTATCCTCCAAAACATAGTGATAGCTATATCAAATAAAGTTAAGTATCGGGGTTATCCTAGACAGGAAACATAAATGGAAATACCATATTCAGCAATGGGTTGACAAGGCTGTTTAAAATAGTATTTTTCAAGAGCTATATTAGACCTATTTTAAGTTTGTTCTCTATAGAAAAAATACGAAATCTTTGTTTTAACATGACCTATAAACCCCTCCAAAGCAATTTACTTAATTTATCACTGCTCTGGTCAAGAAAATAACATTGTTGTTCATAAACAGAACTCATTTATCGTAATTAGCTATGAAATTACAGACATACTTACATATGTATGTATAAAAAGTATAAATAATTGTTATGAGTATGACTCACTTTCACTGTGTTTTCTTTTCTGTTTTTGCAATATGTTTAAATCAGGAAATTTCAATTTTTCTGCAATTGAGAAGAAAAACAACACTCGTCATCATTACAGAATGTTTTCAAACTACGAATATACATATTTATAATTGCTGTAATTTTAGAAACAAACAAACATGATGATGATTTCATGGATAATTAACAGCAAAAGAGATATTGTCAATTCAGTATATAGCATGACAACAATTGACAAAACAATTCACGCTTGAATTCAAGTAAAATATAAATATTTGAAAATTGACCATTTGAAATACAAATTGGAAACTTTTATCATTATCATTTATTAAAATCGATCCTTTCTTTTTCTTATTCTCCCTTTTTCAGCAATACACAATTGGCACGGTGATGTCCGCTGCGGCCTTGCCTTAGACGTTGGTGATTCTGTGGAAATTCTAGAAGAATGTCCAAATTGGTTTCGCGGCACATGTCCACGCAAATCTCGCGCCGTGGGAATATTCCCCAAAACCTATATACACATAAAAGACTTAAGCAAAATCGATCCTGTAGTAGCGGAATGTACACAAGTTCTACGCGAGTGGTCGGAAATATGGAAGAAATTATTTGTGGTAAGTAAAAAAATGGGAATTTTAATTTTTTAATATATTTTGCAAATTATTGTCTGTTTTAATTTACAGGATCGTGAAACATATAAATTCACAACATTAAGGAAAGTAATGTTGTCCATATTGGAAAGCCGCCGTGAATTGTTGGGCGCCACACTAACCCAAGATCAAACATTGGAATTGCAAATGACTGTGGTGTCAAAAATCGATTGGGGTAATCGGTAAGTACAGAGACAATTTATTTGAGTTTTTTAAAGGTATAGATAAGAGTATGAAAATTGTGGGTATAACCAAATAATATAAAATGTACATATTTAGAAGAATATATATCTTCTGCAGCCTATAATTATAGACTAACACAAATTTTCATTGATCTAAAAATAATGGTAAATTATGTTTTACATTTCTTGAGGATATTTGACGAGCGATTATAATGCTGGCATTAATAATAAATGACATATTATAAAAAGTGTTGCATACTTTTAGGAGGTTAGAAATATAATACTGCAGTCGAAAATTTCTATAAACTAGTAATGATAAAATTAATTCGGAAGCCGCTAAAATGTACGAAAGAAGCCATTTACAGCGTTATCCAATTGTTTTCAGGCAGGCTTTTCTTTATATATTTTTAAGAGTTCGTCGGTAAAGACTATTTTCTGATCGTCTAGTCTTCTATTAAACGCGGATCCAAATTTATTATATGGTTCTATGGGGTGTATATTGATTTCTCTTATGTCGTATACAAAACTTTCTCATTTGAAAATCTTTAAAAATTCCCTTTTGATTTGATATAAAAATCCGGAAATGGTGTGTAGTCTCGGGGTGGCCTTGTCTGGCTCAGCATAAATTAGAATTTCCTTCTTGACGTCAAATATTCCATGTTTAGTGGTCTCCAGAGAACTCTCTCAATAGTTATATTATGCATAGAAAAGCTTTAAACTTCCTGAAGAGATTTTTTACTTTAAGTAAATAAATATATGTATAAATATCGAGCATAATAATGTATGTGGAAATATGTATATGCTGGCCACAATTTTATCTCGTGTATATGAAACAGACGTAGGCTCCATTTACATAAAATCATACGAAAATACCGATTTTTGCAACACATCACTCTAAAATCACCTCTGCCAAATTTCGTGTAAATAGAATTCGTGTAATAAATGGGAGGAAAATATATATGAGAGCTATATCAGCTAAATCTGATCCGATTTCAACAAAACTTCGCAAACGTCTATCTGGACCTAACTCCGTATATATCGCAAGAATTTGTTTGAATCGGACAATCCTTGGGAGGTGGTTCACCATTTACCAAAAATCGGATGAAACTACATGTGAGAGCTATATCTAAATCTGAATCGATTTCACGGACATCAAACTGGACTTAAGTCAGTATGCTGTGAAAAATTTTGTTTGAATCGGACTAATATTGGGGGTTTGGTGCATCATTACCAAAAATCGGACGAAACTATATATGGGAGCTATATCTAAATCTACACCGATTTCAACAAAACTTCACGGACTTCAAACTGGACCTAATGCAGTACGTTGTGCAAAATTTTGCATCGATCGGACTAATATTTGGGGTTTGGTGCACCATTTACCAAAAATCGGACGAAACTATATATGGTAGGTATATCTAAATCTGAATCGATTTCAAAAAAAAAAAAACTTCACGGACACTAAACTTACGGACATTGACTTAAGGGGACCCCCCCATTCTCGGTGTCAAAATTTTTTTTATTTAATTCGAATCTACTCTAAATCTAGAATGTCCCTACAAAATTTTAAGTGAAAATCTCAAGATCTCTTGAAGATATAGCCGATTTATTGTGTCAGCATCAAGGGACGACAAGAGTGATTCTCAAACTTTAAACGCATTTTTTCTCGAAGCGAATGGCGGGCACGATAACTAAAAAACTAATAATCCAATCGGTCCCAAATTTTGACACGTTTCTCTGGGAGTGTATAGCTCTCGTATGAACTAGGATAAAGCCAATCGGTGAAGATCTTCCTTACTTCTTAACCTAGTTTGTGGTCAAAAATAGGCGATTTTCCAAAAAAAAAAAAAATCTAAGTTCCGCCATTTTCTTAATTGTTGTGCGAAATCAATAATCCTAGTTCATACGAGAGCCAGTCATGGACTCTTTCTAACACCGTTGGAATTTTCGGATTCCGATGTTCCAGTGAGGAGTTATCATGCCCGCCATCAAAAATAAGGACTTTTCTTTGATCACAAAAAACAACAACAACAAATTTTTTGTAAATTATTTTTCTTCCTATTTGAAGATTTAAATATATATGTGCAAAGTTACAAATCTTAACAAGCATTGGTATTCATTTACCAGCCCATTTAAAATCGTAAAAATAAAAAATCGTGTATGGGGAGGGGGTTACCTTAAGTCAGTATGCTGTGAAAATTTTTGTTTGAAATGGACAAATATTGGGGGTTTGGTGCATAATTACCAAAAATCGGACCACAAATATGAACACTTAAAATTTTTAGACTCATATGCTCCTCTAGGAAGGAAAATGTTGAATGTTTTCCAAAAAGTCCCATCAGCAGCTATTTCGTTATCAAGGGATGTATCAATTACTTCAAAATCAGAGACAGAATTAATTCACGTTCTTTTTTATACCCTTATGGCTAATGTGGTGGCTAATACGGTAAAAATGTGCCTCATTGAAATATTGGTTTTAGATCCCATGTTTCTTTGGGCCAAATCCGTTTCAGAAAATTTAGAGTCGTCCGTCCGTTGTCCGTCTGTCTGGCTGGTGCGCACGATAACTCTCGAAGGGAATAATCGATTTCATCCAAACTTTGGACATCTTAATATTTCTTCCAAACTTAGTTTAAGTTCGAAGATGGGGAATATCGGTCCACTCCTTCCGGTACCTCCCCCACAAAATGGTCAAAATTATGCAAAAAATTAATTTGATAATAACATGCAAACGGACCAACCGATTTTAACGAAACTTTGTAAAACCTATTATATTTATCAAGCATAGTACGAAGAAGGGACCCATTGGTCTACTCCTCCTCCCCCACAGAGGGTCCACATTTTCAAAATTTATAAATCCAATAACAGGCGAATGGAATGTCCTATTTGAACCAAACTTTGCACAACCTATTACGTTTACCAAGTATATATTTCAGGTTTGAAGATGGGACCCATTGGTCCACTCCTTCTGGTACCTCCCATACAAAGGGTCAACATTTCCAATATTTATAAATCCAATATCAGGCTAATGGAATGTCCGTTTTGAACCAAACTTTGTACAACCTATTATCTTAACATAGCCTAGATCAAGTAGGAAGATGGGTGAGAGTATATATCTGTCGGCAACACCGACTGACACTTTTTTACTTGTTGTCGTCTCAATTGTATATAACCTCATTGGCCTGAGTGTAGAAAAATAGTTTTTGTTTGTGGTATTAGTTTTACTATTTGTAGCGGTTTCTTGTTTATTAATCTTCCTAATACAGTCGAGTACGGTTATAGCGAGCTCGTAGGGACCAAACAAATTAGTTCGTTATTGAAGAAGTTCGTAATATCCATGTTAAAATATAGGCTTAGTAGAAAAATAATATATTTTCTTAGATATTGGCAGGATTTGTGTCCTTTTTGAACATTTTTAAGATGCTTTCCCTTTTCTTTAATGAATCTTACATTAAAGTTTGCCAGCGTCACAGTAAAAATTAACTTTTGTGAGGATTGTAATCGTCAGTATTACGTATATTTGTAGCAAGTTCGTTATAACCGAATTAAAATGTTTGAAAACTGAATGTTGGGACCGAATAAATAGTTCGTTATATCCGTAGTTTGCTATAAGATTAAGGATTTTTATGAAAAATATGTCTAAAATGTTCGGGACCCGGAAATGTGTTCGCTATAACAAAAGTTCGTTATAAGCGTACTCCACTGTTCATATTTACTTTTGCCAAAATAAATCTTCAACGAAACCGCATCTGCTTAAATATTTATTTATGCCAAATTAAATGACACTTTTAAGGTTCCGCAAAAAACACCACAATTATTTATATTTAAAATCGTAAATATTTATTTATTAAAAAAAGTAGCATACAAAATAATCTTGTCTATCATCATAATCACAATACTTTTGTTTATAAACAAAAAAATTCTAAAATATATATGTATATAGTAGAGTGGTATTTTTTATTTTAGAATTTATCATTATAAAAAATGTTTTTTAATATTTTTTGTTTCTTAACCTAACAAAGGTCGTCTAATAAAGAAGAATTTCGAGGGAGACATTAGCACATATATTTTTATAACATGGTTTCCTAGATTATAACAAATTTTGAATTTAGTATTCTTTTTTTTTCAAATGGAAGCGACATTTTACGGACTTTTTTTAGTTTTGAAGGGAAGGACAAATAGATGTGTAGTTAAAATAAAAATATAATCTTTAAAATATATAGAATTGTATGCTAATTATTAAAATCTGTCTTATTTTATTTTCTAATTTAAATGATGGCGTCTTTTTGTATTTATTTTTTAATTAAATTAAAATTTTAGCTTTCGGTTTTTATTTCGAGAAATGATTTTACTTGCAACATTTAATAGGAAAAAAATGTTTTGTCTTTTTTGTTTTCGCAACTTATAAATAGTAAAAAATGATTTTATAGTGGGACAGGCAGTGTTGTTATCTGAAGAAAATAATATTTTTTTAAATGGCCAGGTATTTATACAAACAGAAATAAAATTGCACAGAATCTTGTAAAAAAAATACAATCGAAAAAAATAGAGCGGACAAAACATTTTGGGTTTTACAAAAAATTACATAAAATAAACATTAAAATGTGTTTGTAAAAATATTGTTGTTACAATTAAAAATCTATCTATAGGACAGTGTCTACTAAATATTATTATTTATGAAATTATAAAAAATTAATTCATAAATTTGTTTTTTTTTTTAAATTATATCAAAATTAAAAAAAAATGAGAAATCATTTGTTGCCTTTCCATCGGTCGTCGTGTAGTCGTCAGATGATTCATTGCATTGGAATTGTTATTGTTGTTGTTGGACTTTCACCACTCCATTTATGTTTCAGTTTCCTTGCCAAAACTATCAACTTGTGGATAAATTGGATGCATCTCCAATGTTGAGGGTGCCGATGGGGTCCTTGATGTACCCAAGAGATTACATAATTCTTGTACCATTTCCGAATAGGATTTCGTATTGACATTTTGTCCAACAAAATGCAACAACAAAAAGTCACCAATCTTCAAAAGAAAAAAATTGAAAATTAAATATTTGTCTGAGTATGTGTGTGTGCATTGTGAACTTACATCCAAACGTCTAACCAGACTGGAGATTTCCTTGCCCTGACCGGAACGATATGAGCGCTTGATAATGGTTTCACGTGTGGTGGGCATAGTAACAACCATAAAGGAGTAAATCAAAGCAACGCCAGTGATAACCGACAAAATGATAAACCAGAACCTGAAAGCAAAGAATGAAACGTAAAAAAGGAATTAAAATGGAGGCAAAAAATAAATCATCGGGGTGCAATTGTGGGCTGAGATAAATCTGAGTTTTTAAATATAAATTCAGCTAAACTTTATTACGGAAAAAAGTAGATTCAGCTAAATATTACTATAGATAAAATTAAAGCAGTATTCTTTCATATATAAAAAGGGAATTCCTTCTTGAAGTCCTCAATTCAGCAGCGTTTTTCGTAGAAAATACGAATTGAACAGTACTTTTCATCAAAAATTTTCATAGAAAGTATTAATTCAGCAACAGTTTTCCAATGAAGTTAATCCAACAGACTCTTCTTATATAAAAACTATATTCAGCGAAGCTTTTCTTAAGAAAAAATCAATTCAGCTAAGTATTTCATACGGAAAAAATAATTTTACTAACATTTTCTTACGAAAAAGTAAATTCAGCTGGCTATTTCTCACCAAAACGTCAATTCAGCTAACATTTTGTATAGAAAATTTCAATTCAGCTGACATTTTTTAAAGAAATTCTCAACTCAGCTAACTTTTTTTAAGAAAAAATAAATTGCCGTAAATCTTCTTTGTGAAAAAATTGAATTCAGCTAGTTTTCCATACAAAAAATGAATTCAGCAGTGTTTATCGTAGTACAACGTTAATTCAGCTAATTGTTTTCATCGAAAAAATTAATTCAGCTAACTTTTTCCAAATAATAAATGAATTCAGCTAACTTCTTCCTAAGAATTACTGAATTCAGCAATATTTTTCCATGAAAAAAATAATTCAGCTAACTTTTTTTCTAAATATAGTCGAAATCAGCTAACTTTTTCTAATTCAGCTAATTGTTTTTATCGAAAAATTTAATTCAGCTAACATTTTCTTAAGAATAATTGAATTCTGTTAAATTTTTATATAGAACCCAAAAATTCAGCTAACTTTTTTTTCTAAAAATAATAGAATTCAGCTAACTTGTTTAACGGAAAAATTAATTTAGATCAAATTTTTCACTGAAAAATTAATTCATCTAATTTCTTCCATAGAAAAAGTGAATTCAGCAGTATTTATATTAATAAAAAGTTAATCCAGATAATTGTTTCTGTCGAAAAAATTAATTCAGCTAACATTTTCTTAGGAATAAATGAATTCAGCTAACTTTTTCCATTGAAAAAACTAATTCAGCAAACTTTTTTTAAATATAGTCGAATTCAGGTAATTTTTTCCATAGAAATTCTGTCGAAAAAAATTAATTAAGCTAACATTCTCTTAAGAATAAATGAATTCAGCTAACTTTTTCCTAAGAATAACTAAATTCAACTAAATTTCTCCATGAAAAAAATTAATTCAGCTAATTTTTTTTTAAATAGTCGAATTCAGCTAACTTTTTCTATAGAAAAAATGAATTCAGCAGTGTTTATCGTAATAAAAAGTTAATTTAACTAATTGTTTTCATCGAAAAAATTAATTCAGCTAACTTTTTTCTAAGAATAAGCTAACTTTTCCCATAACAAATGAATTCAGCTAATTTTTTTTATGAATATTTCAATTCAGCTAACTTTTTCTCATGAATACTTGAATTCAGCTAACATTTTTCTAAAAATAATTGAATTCAGCTAACGTTTTCCTATGAATAATTGAATTTAGCTAACTTTTTCCATAGAAAAAATTAATGCAGCTAAGTTTTTCTTAAGGAAAATATTTTTTTCCACGGAAAACGTTATTTCAGCTAGTTTTTCTATCTAAAAAGTTAATTCAGCTGAGATTTTCATAAGAAAAAGTGAATTCAGCTAACTTTTTCAAAAGAAAAAATTAGTTTAGACCTTTTTACAATCAAAACATGTAATTCAGCTGAGTTTTTCTTAAGGAAAAGTTAATTCAGCTAAGTTTTTCTTAAGAAAATCTGAATTCAGCAAAGTTTTTCTTAATAAATCTTGAATTCAAACTTTTGAATAGCAAACTTTTTCTAACAAAAGAATATCATTTTTTCTATTCTGATGAAAAAAAATTAATTCAGCTAATTTTTTTCGTATAACATTTCAAAATCCACTTACCACAAGAAAATGTAAATCTTTTCATTCAAAATATTCAAAGCCAACACGCACAAAGTGTCGTGTCTCTGTGGTGAACCACCAGGGCCGAATTTGTGGAATGTACATTTGGTGAGACGTGGGAAGACTTCAATCATTGGATCGAAACGTTTATCCTGATCCATATTCGAGAATTTAATGACATCTGTGCCATAGGTCATAAAGGCGCCGCCCAAGAACTTATCCACCAAAAAGATGTTCACAATGACATTGACAAAATTCAAAGCCTCACAGAAGAAATAGGCGAACGAATAGCCGGCATGGGAATTCAAGCTTTCCATTAGATATTTGATAATGCGATTTTGGCGATCTTTGCGATAATCCTCGGGTATGGAGACCATGCCACGCAGTCCATCGGTGATCATGCGCATTTTGCCATCTTCCATGTTCTTCCAAATCCAATGGGGGACATAGAACATGAGGCCCTATAAATAAATTTAATAAACAAAATTATAATTAAAAAAATTGAAAAATAATTTCAAAATTCTCTTATCACCTGGAAGAACAGCACAAACGGCACCCACTGATAATAGCTATGATATCGTTTCTCCTGACCAAATTCATTACCCAGACCATGGGCCGCCACATCTGTACCAATTTGCCTATGCTGTTGACCCGGTATAGTAAACGTGTAGGTAATCCAGCAGAAGGTATTGATGACATGCATCGGTATGGAACCATCATTGATGCATGAGATGGGATCACCTAAAAAGAAATTAAATAAAAAAATAATTTTAATAAAATTCTGTATCAAATATTTTTCAAAATTGCTATTCTTGTTTTAAATTGTTGGCAATTTGTTCTAATTTAATTTAAACTCTCAACTAAAGTCATTTCAAGCTAGACAATTTATTTGCATAAACCAACCAACACACACACAGGCAGACATACATACCCCCACAAAGTCATTGTGGATGTGAGTGTATGTGTGTGGATTATGCAATTATGTTTAGGTTATGTCATGTTTGGAAAGATATCAAATTGCAGGATTAACCCTTTATGAAAGGGTGATCCTAACTTTAATTAAGAAAAATATTTTTTTTTTTTCTAAATAGAATTCAGCTATTTTTTGATACAAAGAAACCATTTTGTTTAAATTTTATATCGAAAATGAGTATTCAGCGGACTATTTTCAACGAAAAAATGAATTCAGTGAAGTTTTTCCAAAGAAATATTCAATTCAGCGGAATTGTATTGATGGAAAAATGTTATAGATCGTTTATTTGTATAAGAAAAACAAATTCAGCTATTTTTCTTATGAAAAATATACATTTCGTGCTGAAAATGAGTATTTAGCTAACTATTTTTAACGAAAAATTTCAATTCAGCTAACTAATTTAAAGGAAAAACTTTATTCAGCTAACATATTTGGAGAAAAAATCTATTCCGCTAATTTGTTTCAAAGAAAAAATCAATTCAGTCATGTTTTTATATAGAAAATCTCAATTCAGCAAGCTAAATCGAAGGAAAAATTTAATTCAGCTAATGTGTTTCAGAGAAAATATAGATTTTGAGAAGTTTTCATATAGAAAATCGCAATTCAGCTAACTCTTTAGAACAAAAAACTCTATTCAGCTAATTTGTTTCAACGGAAAAACAAATTTTTGTGCAGAAAAACTCAATTCAGCTAACTTTTTCGGAGAAAAACTCTATTCAACTATTGAAAAAATCAAATCATAGAAGATTTTATATAGAACAACTCAACTTTTTATATGAAAAATTTTATTCTGTTAAGTTTTTCAACAAAAAACATTAAATTAGCAAAACATTTTCCAAGTAAAACCCTAATTCAGCTAACTGTTTATATAAAAAAAAACTCAATTTAACTAACTTTTAATGTTGAAACTTTTAATGTGGAAAAACTCAAGTCAATGAAGTTTTTCTTTAGAAAACATGAATTCAGCAAACAATTTCTGTACAAAAACTCAATTCAGCGAGCTTATTCTACAGAAAACTCAATTCAGCAAAGGTTTTTCGTAGAAAATGTGAATTCAGCTAACTTTTTCTATAGAAAATCTCAATTCAGCTATCATTCACGGAGGAAAAAGACAATTCAGCTGTGAAAACATAAATTCAGCAAACCTTTTCTAAAGAAAAACTAAAGTCTATGAAGTTTTTCTTTGGAAAATATGAATTCAGCAAATTGTTTATATAAAAAAACCAAATTCAGCAAGCTTATTCTTAAGAAAACATTAATTCAACGATATTTTATTATAGAAAATGTATATTTTCTATAGTAAAATACAATTCAGCTAAGTTTTTTGAAGGGAAAACTCAATTCAGCTGTGAAAAACATAAATTTAGCAAATTGTTCCTAATGAAAAACTTAATTCAGCGGATTTTTTCTTTAGAAAAACAGTATTCAGCAATTATTATCTATAAAAAAGTAAATTCAGCTAGATTATTTTAGAAAATTTCAATTCAGCAATGTTTTATAACAGAAAAAGCTAATTCATCAAGGTTTTTATATTAGAAAATTTAATTCAGCAACATTTTATGATAGAAAAAACTAATTCAGCAAGGTTTTTATATTAGACAACTTAATTCAGCAACATTTTATAATATAAAAGGGTTATTCAGCAAGGTTTTTATATCAGAAAACTTAATTCAGCAACATTTTATAATAGAAAACTTAATTCAGCAAATTTTTTCTCTAAAATATGCAAAATTCAGCAATGTTTTGACATCAAAAGAAATCAATTCAGCAAGGTTTCCCTATAACAAAAATCATTACTAAATTTATTTTTCGAAAAAAAACAACTTTTTTTTTGAAATGTCCTCCTCATAATGGGTTAATCCTTTCTGTAACCATTATTTCTATACCCTTATATTCCACCACACCCCTCCCTCCCCCTACCTGCACAAACACCACCACCTTCCAACATTTACACAAATCATTATCATCATCATTCATGTCAGAAAACTAAGACAATATGCGGTCGGGGGTTACAAATGGTGTTGGTCATTGTGGCCACTGTGTGTGACCGACCAGCAGCTACAGTTCAATGTGTGGGGGTCACAGAGAGACAGACAATCTGATTTTTTCCAACTCTCCCTTTTCTCTGTACCTCTCTCGGTTCCACAATTTAAAATCATAGATACACTTCACTTCATTTCACGATGATGACGACGATACCCCTTTTTAAACAATGACACACACAACAAATGTTCATTGGCGGAGCCGCCTTTACATGTCCGCATACAAGAACATGATAAGAGAGGAGGAATTGGAAGGAGGTAGGTTGTTATACAGGAAGAAAAGTTCTTCATCGGTAGTATCTCTTTTGCGAAATTGGCAAAAAAAAGACAAACCCCCTTAGAGAAGTTGTAGTTGTGTCATGTCATATTGACCATACATATGGGGGTTCGTTCCAAAAGGCATGACAACCAAACAACATAACCCCCCAAGCAACCTACGAATGTAAGACATGTCCAATGGGGCCTACTATACGATGATGTGCACAGAACATGATGATTTACGGGAAGAGATGAAAAGTTGTTGCCTTTAAATGAAGCGTTTTATGTTGAAGAAAAGTGCCCTATTGCCGATGTCCATTGCGGATTGTTTATTTTTATTTTGTATTCTCTATTGGGAACTTTTAAGGGATTTGCGAAACTTTTGTTTATTTGCCCCCTATATAAGGAGATGGTGAAGTTTTTGTGTTCGGAAGAGGCAGGCAGGACTGATGATGAAAATAAAGTGCACAAAGTTTTTTCCTATACATATTGAGAAAATCCAATAAAAGGATTTTATGGAGAACTTTATTTTTTGGGTTTTGAGTTTTTTTTAAGGAAAAACTTTGCTGAATAAAATTTTTCAACAATAGAAAAGTTAGCTGAATTTGGGATTTGTACTGAAAATCTTTGCTGAATTAATTTTATTGATAGAAAAAATGAAATTTGGTGTAAAAAAATTAAATTTTTATACACAAATTTAGCTAATTTGATTTTTTTTTTTTTTTGGAAAGAAAAAAGTTATCTAAATTGAGTTTTTTATGAAAAAATTAGCTGAATTAGTTTATTTGTACACGCATTGAGCGGAATTTATTTTTTTACATAGAAAATGTTAGCTGAAATGTGTTTTTCCATAGAAGTTTTTAACATTAAAAAAAAGTTAGTTGAATTGAGATTTTTATGGAAAAAAAAATTAGCTGAATTAAGTTTTGCATGGAGAAAAAGTTGGCGAAATTTAGTGCATTTATATAAAATGTTAGCTGAATTGATCATTTTCGAAAGAAAATGTTAGCTGAATTACGTTTTTCCATGGAATATGTCAGCTGAATTTGATTTTTACAGGAAAAGTTGACTGAATTGAAGTTTATTTTTTAAAATGTGAGCTGAATTTAGGTTTTCTTTGAAAAAAAGGTAGGTGAATTAAGTTTTCTCATAGAAAATTAAGGCCGAGCTAAATTTCTTATATAAAAAAATAGCTGAATTTGAGTTTTCAATATAATATTTTAACAGAGTTAATTTCTATTGAAAAACCTTAGCTGAATTGTGTTTTTCTAAAGAAAAAATTAAATGTATTAAGTTTTTCTTCGAAAAATGTTAGCTGAATTGAGTTTTTCTTATGAATAACTTAGCTGAATTGCATTTTTCGTTGAAACTGGTTAGCTGAATTAAGTTTTTGATTGAAAAATGTTAGCTGAATTGAGTTTTTCTAATGAAAAATTCAGCCAAATTAATTTTTCTTAGGAAAGGACTTTGCTGCATTTAGTTTTCGACAGAAAAAGTTAGCTGAATTAAGTTTTCCTTTGAAAAAAATGTAGCTGAATTATTTTGTTCTATGCAAATAGCTAGAAAAGTTGTGATTTTCTGTATAAAATGTTAGCTGAATTGAGTTTTTCTTATAAAAAATAGAGCAGAATTAGTTTTTCTTTCAAAAAAGTCAGCTGAATTACATTTTTTTGAAGGAATAAGTTAGCTGAATTGAAACTTTCTATAAAAAAATCATCTAAATTCATTTTTTCTTTGAAAATAATTATCAATATTGAAGTTTTTGACAGAAAAGTCAGCTGAATTATGTTTTCCTATGAAAAATGTAGCTGAATTATTTTGTTCTTTGCAAAAAGCTATAAAAATTGTTTTTGTATATAAAATTTTAGCTGAATTGAGTCTGTCCATTAAAAAATTAAGCTGACTTAAATTTTTCTTTCAAAAAAAGTTAGCTGAATAAAGTTTTTCTTATTAAAAATAGCACAGAATTAATTTTTTCTTTCAAAAAAGTCAGCTGAATTGCATTTTTTGAAAGAATAAGTTAGCTGAATTGTGTTTTTCTATCAAAAAATCCAGCTGAATTAATTTTGTCTTTGAAAAAAATTACCAAAATTTAGTTTTTCGAGAGAAAAAGTTTGCAGAATTTAATAGTTGTGTTAAAACATGCAGCTGAATTAATTTTTTCTTTCAAAAAAGTCAGCTGAAATGCATTTTTGATAGAAAATGATTGCTGAATTAAGTGGTTATATTAAAAAATTCATTACCAATATTGAGTTTTTCGACAGAAAAAGTTTGCTGAATTCAGTTTTTAGTTTAAAACCTTTTTTGATTATTTCATTTTTGCAAGAAAAACTTTGCTGAATTCAACATTTAATTGGAAAATTCATCCTAATTGACCATATTCTTAAACTTTTTCCGATTTTCATTCTCTCCACACACTCTACATTTAAACAAATCTCCCAAATAATTTTTTATACAAACTGATGGAA